CTTATAGAGCTGATCCGCTCGATAGACGACGAGTGGCCCCAGTCTCCGTGCGTTTGGGATTGGCTAGACCGTGAGCTCCGAGCAGGCCCCGAGTACGTGACCTGCATCGGGBGGSTCTTYTCAGACGACTGGGAGAGCTGGTGGGGTGAGGACGCCGGGCGACCTCTGATATACGGCCATCAGTTGGCGCAATACTACCAAGGTTTAGGACAGGCGCCATACCGCGTCGAGGACGAGTTTGACGACGAGGGTTGGGAGCGAGAGGACGACGAGGAGTTGTGGGAGCCAGACTGGGTCGACTCAGAGAGTGAGGTTGACGAGGAGGAGATTGACGTTACAAACGCCCATTTTCCCAGGATAGGAGTAGCGGTCCGGGCGTAGGAGGTAGAGGAGCACACCAGGGCGACGGTTGAGTGAGCCTGGCTACTGAACCTATTCAACCATACTGGACCTGAGTGCGAGAGTTGTCTGAAGGGTTAGCAATGTCGAGAGATGGGGTGCATCGGAGGGAGTAGAGTGATGCTGACCGAGAGTAGGAGGAGAGATGAGGAGTGATTCAGTGGCCTGGTTAGCTTATGTTCTCTCACGAGAGTCCGAATTGTATAGTGTGAAAAAGCTTGTGAGACCCAGAGAGACGGCGGTTGGATACGACATACCATTTCCTGTGGCGTTAGAAGAGGCAGGGCGTGTACCGATACGATACTTGGGAACGTGGCTCGCAGAGGGGCTCTTCCTATGGACAGTGATACTACGAGACGAACGACCCGAGAGGACTCATGATCTAGAAGGGGTCGGACATCTAATAGTGGATAGAACACACGATTTGGAGATAGGGCTAACGCTCGCAGGGGCGAGCAGGAGTTGGTGGAGAAGCGAGTTGTTGGCCAGAGTGATCGTTAATCAGCAATTGGCGAGACTTTCTGGAGGGAGGACGAGTTGGAACTGCTTGGTATACGGTCCACCACATCCGACCCTCTACCCGAGAAAGGATTGGCGATTCGGACTTCCTACCTTCGTGATAGGGCARACCTATGGGAGCGTGGATCGTTTGAGTAGAGCAGTGGACCACACACTTTACGCGCTCTGGGAGGGCTTAGCGCCCCGCTTCAAGGAAGTATACTACGCCATTTGTGTGAGGTGGGGGCCGCCCAGTAGAGAGACGCTTGACGACATCATAGATGTTACTGGCTGGGTGAACTCTATCGATCTGACTAGGTACTGCAGGAGACGGGCAGAGATTGATTACGCGGGGCTAGAGGATGCGAGATTTCTCTTCGAGGCCGCAGCTTAGGGAATGCCGGGAAGGACGACCATGGTGATGCGTGTAGAAGAGCAACTGGTAAGCGCAAGATACACTGTGAAAGTACTTCTCCGAGCGTACGTAGACGAGGACTTGACAGCGAGTGAGTGCAGACAACGAGCCAGGGATTTGATCCACGAGCGTAGAGCTGATGTACTGGCACGAGTGACCTTCCAGACCTCGATTTCCTATGCTGTGATGATATGGTCTCATGGTTATATGCGCGTGGAACACTACCACGATGAGACGGTAGCGGAGGCTAGAGCGAGGGTGAGAGGGTGAGCTGGGAAAAGATGTGGACTGAGTATGGAAGAGGAGAGTGAGGCAGTCGGAAGAGTCAGAAAGCGCGTAAAAGAACGACTCTTGAACCAGGTAAAGAAGTTGGAGAACAAGTTAAGGGAGATCTGGTCATGCCAGGACGAGGGAAAGTTGCGTAGGGCTGAACTCGTGACAAAAGTGTTAGACAATCTGTTTAGGGAAGAAAGAGAGATTATCAAGGCGTGGAGATCAAACTTTCTGGAGAGGGTAAAGGCTAGAAGCGTATCACACGAAGAAACTAGTGAGCGATCTGCAGAGAGCGAGACAACGGAAGACAAAGTAACGCAGGGAAGTAGCGATAGGACATGAGCGGGACTGCATTACACACGACGGATCGGTACTCATTATATGTGGTAGGGAGACTCGATGGACCATTAGTGTTAGTGATCATAGAACTCCAGCTCCATACCAGACTATGCATAGTTGAGGAGGCAGAGTGTGTCCGCCGCGCGCTGCGTGAGGCTAGGGGAACAGGACTTTGGATTGGAATAGAAGGAGGACGGAGGATAAAATACGTACTCCAAGTGACACCTTTCGAAGTGCGGTCTAGGATAAGGGCATGGTACGAGACGACCAGAGAGGTTGAGAGGTTGAAGATAAGCGAAGCTAGGAAAGCTGGAGAGTTAGGGAGAGTTGTAACAGATGGTGCAATACTCAGGGTGTTAGCCGCTCACAACCGATACTGGAAGGAAACGACAAAGACTTTAGAGGCGATAGACGATGGAGGAGATAAGGAGGACTTTGAGACATTTTATGACATATTGGAGCGGTCGGCGATGAGGTTACAAGTGGTTATAGCACTAACTTACCTCAGCTGTTAGACAGATGACCTCGTAGCCRTTRAGGAGATAAGGTAGTRGAAATAGAAATTGGAAGCTCTTGGAAGGATAGAGGAAGCTAGAAAGGTCGATGGGCGACATTGGACGGCAGTAGGAGGGCCTTTAGCGGGCTAACCGATTCAGGACAGGGCTAGGAGAACTAGCAAGGAGGACAGAGAGACGCTCCGAGACTCTTGAGGGGTGTTGATCATGAGATATTGGCTAGGTTTGAAACTGCGATCTGTCTCAAGGATAGAGGTCCCGTCATGGACGTACTGCGGATCCGGACAGGCACGGCCTTGTTGGCCGATCCCGAAGGAGAGGTTACTTAGACACAGGGGTTCTTGGGATAGAGGGGGAACACGAGATCTGCGACCGGCACGGGATACTGGAGGTGGTAATCAAGGCAGTCGAGAGCTAAGATTGGAGGCGGACGCGAGCCGTGACAAGGAAACGGGTCCGGGTTGCCGCAACTGTCACAGGTCCGGGCTGCAGCGACTGTCATAGGGTCGGGCTGTAACAGTTGGCTAGAATACCTAACTGCATCTTCTGGCGGTCCAATGGAACCCGACACGATGGGGCCACAACCGATCATGGGCGAAGCGGGAGAGGAGTACAGGRCATCGCCCGATCGAGCACTGAGGGATTTGAAGGAACGAATTAGGCAAGAAGCACCGCTGAGATGAGCTGACCAAACCAATGACGGAGGGTCCGACATAAGAGGCGAACCAGTTGCGACAGAGCCGCAGGAGGCTCTAAAGACGGGTACCTCGAGCGGACGACGAGAAACGACGAGGCTACGCTCCCCGAGTACGAGCGGAGGGACACCATAACGGACAGGCACAGAGACGACTGGAGAGAGAGTTTGAGGGATTCCTATTGGAGGGACAGAGATAGAGACAGGGCGCCGCCCAGGCGAGTCTTCGACCCCCAGACAGGGGAGTC